TAAACTCACACTTAGATGGTGTCTTTTATCTGGAGATTAAGCACTTTGCTATATAAATCCTGAGATTATATTATCGTATGTGACATTATTTTTATTTATATTCTTGTTTATGTCCTGTCTTAAAAAAATATTTTTATGTTGCATGTAAGGTAATTAATTGTTTTTGAGTCTGTCTTCCTTTAGATAAATGGTCAAGAGTCAATTGCCCATTCAGTAAATCCACAATTTCTCTTGTCTGTATCACCATGTGTTTGGTGTGGGTAATGAACAGGGATCCTGGTTTTCTCTGATAACAATTTTTATTTTCTCTGATTAAAAAAAATAATCCTTAATTTTCAGGTTTAAAAAAGTAACCCAAAATCTACATTTTTTTGTGGCATTTCATTTTACTCACGGAAAAACATGGATTTTGGGTAACTTTTTTTAACCTGAATATTGGGGATTTTTTTTTTTATCAGAAAGAAAAAAATAAAATCAGAGAAAATCAGGATTCTTGGTAATGACGTTTTTTGAACTTGTCAGAGAATTAAGCATGTTCTTTTCTGCTCTTGACACCTTTATTGTTCAGGTTTTTTCACTTCAGTGCAGGAATCCTTGAACATCTCACAACATAAGATTGAATGGGCAGCAGTGGAGGTCCTGCCTCTTTGCTTCCCATGTTAGTTTTTGCTAACTTCTGCAATGGACTCTCCCACATGATTAGTAGAGGCAAGAGGGCCAACTGCATGCCATGGAACATTCCAGGAATTAGCTGGGTTTATGGCAGAAATTCTAACTAATGTTGTTATCTAGCTTGTGTGTGCAAAGTGCATTAGAGACTGCAATAAGTACAGATACATGAAGATGGATACCTTTTATTTGTTTTTATGACAAAAGCTCATATGTCACCAGTCTGATATTTTGTTTTAAGTAAAATCTGCCCTTCTGCAAAGAACCAGCCTAAAGCCCTTGTGCCTTTTAAGTCCTTCTTAAACCTTCTTTTAAAGAGCTTTAATGGAGCCTAGACACTGTGTTGCCTATCCATAGGGGAGTGGCTTCCATCTAGGGTGGCTATCATAGAGGACAGTCCAGTTGTCTTCTGTCCTCTATTGATATGAAAGCCGGCACCTTTATGTCCTCTATTTTTCTCTTGAAGAAAAATTTTTCTCTTGCAGAGAAAAATGGAAGACATAAAGGCATTGGGTTTCATATCAATAGAGGTCAGAGTAGCAGAAAACTGGAATGTCCTCTATGATGGCCACCCTGCTTCCATCCTCTGGGTGAATTTTCTGGGTGAATATTTTATTAATACTGATATTTAGTATAAGTTCAGTACTAAATTCCATCAGTATTGGGTGTGTGTAACATTTTAGTTGGGTAAAATATTTTCAGAATTGAATTTATGCCATTTAGAGTTGGGATGGGGGAGAGGGTTGACTTTGTTATGAACTCAAGCACTTAAAATATATATATACTCTTGAACATGTATTTCACAGTCAAGCAATGTGTCTGCCTCACTTATAATGCATCTCTTCTGCCTCCTTAAGATTGCAGATACTTTGGGATTTTAAGTCTTAATTATGCTTCATGGTAACCATACTAGCTTTTTTTTTTGGAAGGCTTCAAAATCTAGTATTCATAAACTGAAAGTGATTGAGAATGACTTCATTACAGATAATCATGATGGTCAAAGTGTAAAGACAGTAAGTTTGCAAAATAAATTCCCATAAAAATGTCAGTGCATTATATCTTAAGTCTTTGAATTTGGGTCAACTAATGAGTCCAAAAATATGGTTTGGTCTGTTTTAGGCTTTTTATATTTAATGTCTTTCAAACAGTTAACTTCATTGCTGGAGGCCTGGCAAATCAAGTTATCAGTCCAAAATCACTGGCCTCCAGTTTTCACAAGTATGTTACCTCATTCTGGTAATGTAATTCTGACTTGGAAAACTTTTTACATTTTTAAGAACATCCCACTATTCAAAAGGTCCACAGACATTTAAGAATCTCAGAAAACCCATGAAGTAGCTAAATAGTCCCTGGACAGACAGGGCATTGACAGTGTGTTGCCAGTAGGTCCAGGGAAATGATTATTCCCCTCTATTCAGCACTGGTGAGGCCACATCTGGAGTACTGTGTTCAGTTTTGGGCCCCCTACTACAGAAAGGATGTGAACAAAGTGGAGAGAGTCTAGTGGAGGGCAACAGAAATGGTGGGGCTGGGGGACATGACTTCTGAGGAGAGGCTGAGGGAATTGTGTTTATTTAGTCTAAAGATGAGAAGACTGAGTGGGGATTTAATTGCAGCCTTCAACTACCTGAACGAGTGTTTGAAAGAGGATGGATGGAGCTAGGCTGTTCTCAGTGGTGGCAGATGACAGCACAAGGAGCAATGGTCTTAAGTTGCAACAAGGGAAGTTTAGGTTAGATATTGGGAAGAATTTTCTCACTAGGAGTATAATAAAACACTGGAACAGGTTACCCAGAGAGGTGATGGAAGCTCCATCCTTGGAGGTTTTCAAGACATGGTTAGACAAAACTTTTGCTGGGATGATCTAGTTGTGGCTGGTCCTGCTTTGAGCAGGGCCTTGGACTAGATGACTTCCTGAGGTCCCTTCCAACCCTCATTTTCTATGATTCTATTCTGATTAAAACTCTCCAAAGATTTTTGGACATGATTTTCAGATTTATTGGGCATCACCCACTCCAGCTGAAGTCAAAGAAAGTTTTGAGTACTCCACCCCTTGACATCTTGTAGCAAAATAACTCAATTATCGTACTCAGAATTTCAATACATTCTGGCATAGATGCCATAACTGCCCAATGTCACCAGAAGGAACTGGCAGAGTTGCTGTTAGAACTCAGAAGCCTGTGGCTCCCACTCCCCTGCTTTTTCTTCTACAATCTGTGGACCCAGTTTTATTAAGAAGTGTCACCCAAAACTGTTTTTTTTTTTTGTATTACAGAGATACATACCCATCTTGGAATTTATATTTGATGTCAGTTATCGTCATTATATTTGAATATCTGAATACCTAGCCCTAATTTTGGAATATAAGATATGCCTACACCTCTTCTGTAGCAATCCTGAGACCACCTCTGAGAAACTAGCTCCACCCAATCTCCTGCTCTGTACATGCTGCTTGCATAAAATACAGTCTGGTTCCATTTTTGGAACTTGCCCAGGGTGGCTCTCAGATTCCCCGCCTGGGGTGTGCTTCCAGGACTGCTCTAACAGCAACCACATGCAATTTTTTTTTGGGATGTGGCATTTGAGGAGAGGGGGTGAGTGGGTAAAGATTATTTCTTGGCAGCTGTCACCTCTGTGGCTGTGAGTGTTTGACTGCACCCAGCACTCTCGTTGTCTTAAGTGGGAATGTTGGTAAGCAAAAAATTCAGAATCTGGCCCCTAGTGTCACATGATACTATTGCTCTGCTCTAGCATCTATGTTGCAAGGCTGAACATCTGATATATCAGCATTCCACTGAAATAACATGGAGTACTAGGGGAGGCAGCTGGTATATCAAGCAACACTCGTTCTGGAATATTAATGTAGTGGCTATGTGATTAATAACATTGTTGGAGAGGCGTGCTGCAAGTACGTATGTGTGTTAACAGTCCAACAGCTTTCCAAAATGGTGGCTGGAAAACCACCATTTGTCTTTGCTGTCTTCCTTTAGCCCACTGTTTAGCCCAAATTTTTGGCACTAAAGATCCTAATGTTGGTGGGGAAAGGGGTACTTTGTGCCTGTGGTGTGAAGAAGGGGCTGGATGGATGTTGTGGCCTTTTTGAAAAAATGTTTATCATGTGGTTGCCTGCAACCACAGAGGACTAAATGACCCAGAAGGTCCCTTCCAGTCCTGTATTTAATGGTAGTTACTTTTAGGAAACTGTTATGCCCAATCTGATGAAAATATTGATGTACTGATTAATTTTTTTTCATATAGCTGTCCCATTGTTTTGGGTAGTTAAGGAAAATTCAGCGTGATGCATCATAAAATGATCAAGTAGACTCCAGTAGAATGGAGTACATTCTAAAATATGTAGGGCGACCATATTTCCCGAGTTTCAAAATGAGACATTCTGCTCCATCAGCTCTCTGGCATCCTCAGTTGTCTCCAAGCTCTGGTCTCAGCTGAGTGTGCTCTCAAGTATGCATCTGGGGGAATGCAGAGTACTGGAGAGAGGAATGTGTCTGTGTGTGCACGTGTATGTGTATATGTGAAAGCATACAAACACCAACAGACTTTCTGTATGTCTGAAGAAGGACATTTGTGCCTGAAAACTTGCAAAGAACACTTTTTTCCAACTATTTAGTTGGTCTAATAAAAGATATTGCATCTACCCAAAGAACCTTGTCTGCATATGTGAAACAGTGCCACTTTTGTTGGGGCAGTCCCTCATTAAACACCTGTCTAAGACGTCCCACTGAAAATGGTACAGAAGTGTTTGAACAAAAGAGATAGGTGTTTAAACCAGGACTGTCCCAGTGAAAAGAGGAAGTAGTCATCCTAAAACTATGCATTTTACCGTAAGTGGTGTTGCAATATGCCTTAACTTGGATTTACAAACGGACAGGAGGATGCAAGGATCTCCTCTCCTTGCTCATACTATTCATACCTTGCAGAGGAGCTATGCAGGGAAGCAATTCCAGAACTTATGAGATAGAAAGATTTCTCCTTCTTACTGTCCTCAGGGGAGCAAGTACAAAATAGTAGCTGACCTGCTGAACTCACGCCTTAAACATGCATCTTTTGTTTTTGGTCACTTTGAATGGTCCAATAGAATTGACAGCATCTTTTCCCTTTAGCTGATAGGCTTGTGCATACGTCAGTGCAGTTCAGGAACGAGAGAAGTTAATATGGTTCAGCACAACTTTAGGCAACAGATGTCTGAGGACAGCTGACAGTGCCTAACAAAGAGGGCCTTGATCTTTGATGGGATGCTAGCATATTCAGTAAACACACCGATTATTTATTCCATACTTCTTATCATTACACTATTGATGTTTCTTTTTCAGGCATCATATTTTCATTGGTGGTCGTGATGTATGTCATCTGGGTCCAGGCAATGGCTGATTTGGAAAACTACGAGAACATGAAGAAAAAGGATTGTCCAGATTTTACTGTTCATGTGCGCTATGGCTGGTCTTTCATACTGGCTCCTATAGGAATATTTTTTGCTTTGTTTGCCGGAATGCTCTTCTTATTAGTAGGTCGTACTATTTATTTGCACTCCGACTAATCAGCCATCTGGTAATGGGCATGCTGGAAGCTGAGTGAAACTTTTTAACTGGATCACAATTTTTATACGTTATTCCTGCTACCATAATCTAAAGTTGTAGGTGTACTGGTAGAATTGCTTCAGTTACTTGTTTAATTGGTATGTTCCTATGATAAAGGACACAATACCCACTAAAAGAAAAAAATCCAGTTTCTTTGATTCTTCAGGAATTACATGACATGTTTTTCTACATAACATTATTTGCAGTATTAGATCTGCCTGCAAACATGAGAGGGCAAAAAAGCAACATAAAATGGGTCAAATCAAGATTTTATACGTTTGCCTTTTGGCAATTATTTTGCGTGGCTGTCAAAAAAGTCCTTGTGGAGAATGGTAAAAGACAGAGAGGAAAACAAATGCTTAGCCGAGTAATTTAATACACTGCCTGTCCCTTTCTCCACTACTCTCTTAAGCTTTAATATGAACAAACATTTCTGCACTTAAAAATAGAGTGCAGTTGTTCTTGCAGTGTTTCTCTGATATGGGTAGTACAGATGACCCCAGTGAATAATGACTTGGTGCTAGTATGTACAGGCAGTGGCTAAACTGCTAACATTATCTGTTTTACTTCTGTAAATGTTTGAAAGTGTGCTCTTCTATTCTTCTGTATTTTGTTGCATGATTCTCTAAGCCAAATCAATGCCCTTGAACATACTTAAAGTATGCCAAAATTATAGCATAAAATATATGGTGCATATTTTTAATCAAGTTTTTACTTAGACATTTTAGATGTGTTTAATAATTGGCTCCTCTAGTACCTGCAATGTTATCTAGAACTAAACTTAAATAGAGAAAAATTGTTGTATATTGACTTTTTTATTAAAAATGTTTATAACAATTATCATGTACAGCACGTGAACATTTATGTATTCTGAAGCCCTCAATTTCCTAAATATTAAAATCTATATTGTAGACCAAATCTGGCTTGCCTACGGGTCATCCCAAAGAAACTATTCAAGTGAGTAGGGGTAGTAGATTTATGCCTATATTATGCAACCGAGGCAAGCTGCTTATGTGTGCAGGTCCTTGTGCTCATGGCATGGAAAGAATGGGGTGGATTTCTAATAGTGGGGAAATTTATTTCACTTGGCAGTAGGTCAGGTTGAAATTAAATCCATCTGGGAAATTGGTTAGAGTTTGCACTTTGTAACTCAATGCAAAGTAGTTTTGGTTTGATGGAGAAACATAAAGACTTTATGTTGGTTTCTTCTCATGCACAATGCTTCATTCCACAGCTGTTATGAATATTAAAAGCATCTCTAAGAGGGAGGAAAGAGTGACCACCTAGAAGATGTGGTGGGATAGATTGGCTGTTGCTTCCAATCCAGCAGCTCTTGTGATTGGAAGATTTCCAGTCTTCCCTGCTACTTATTTATTTTTCCATCATCAAGATTAACTTTATACATTATAAAACAGGAAGGCAACTGGGGGGAGCACAAGCATTGGAAATAATTACCAAATCACAAAAATATTTTTATGGCAGCTAACATGATGTTTTTAATTATTGTGCCACAAGAGTACGATGGGTGAATATTTAACAGAAAAATCATAAACAAATATATGAATTCCATATAGATGCTGGCCATCAGGAAAATATTAAATTTACACAATAATGCCCTCGGTTAGCCAGGAAAAACTGAAATTAACCCAGTCCCCCACCTTGTGCATAAATATTACATTCCTGCCTTTAATTACACAATCATACACTATTTCTCAAATAATACAATATGTCAATTTTTCCTCTACAGCCTTGGATACTCAACGGTAATTGTGTGAATAAATTCAATAAGCAAGAGCTATTTGACTAGACAGCACTTTCAAACCCTGGCCAATGCTCCCCAGGAGGGAGCCCTTTTCCACTGCAACTTAGGGGGCACCAGGAATAAGCCACTTTCCGACAGCTCTTAAAAGCATTAGAATGCTGAGGTGCCTCAGAGCTGGGCTCCTTCCTGCAAAGCTTACCATGTGTGCAACAGCAACTAATAAATTCTGCAAAGCAAGAGCCAAAGGCTCCTTTGGAGCACATAATTTAGCCCATGTGCATCTTCAGATCTCTTTCCATTGTGCAGCTAAATTAGCTACACCCTTACATGTGGTGGAGTCTCCCATAATTGTGCACTTTGGGTAGGACTGTAGGTTGGCCAACATGGCTAGAGAGGAACTTACAGACAATTGAAGATGGAATGAGGGCATACCTGGCTGCTATGTCCTTCACTTGGAAATATGATGAGGCTTTAGGTATAACTTTAGAATTGTACTTTCCTTAGTTTGATTGTGCTATTCTAGTCCCACTGACCTACTCATTTTTAGAAAGAGCTTAAGTATTTATAACAGTCAGGTGCTGATCCTGATTTTCTATATATTTGGATCTTTACAAAATAATTGAGAATCACGACATTTTCACTTCAATTTACATTTTGGAGATCTTCTACGATTGGATCAATGCACTTTAATTCCTACTTCCATAGCAAACTAGAGTAGGAAAAGAGCAGAGCTGGAGACAGGATGGGAGAGGTGTTGGCTACCTGTGCATACCCAACAGGGTAATGTGCTGCTCTTGCAAATGAGAAGTAGCTAATGGGGAAGAAATTATTCTGAAAGGACTTTTCCTGGTATAGTGAAACTAACACACTGTCTTTTACTTAGGGCTGTCTCTCAAAACACATGATGTGGGTCTTTCATTTTTTGATGCTTTTAAGAATTCCAGGAAGGGAGGCCAGGCAGTGATTCTTACTTGGTGAAATCATTCAGAATGAATTATTGTCTAGAAATCCTGATGGTAGCACAAGGATTACCATGATGAGTAGAGCTGAATGAAAAGATTTTAAGTGGGATTCAGTTCTTTAACCTAAATAGTTTGTGAAATGTGTCATATTATTTTCTTCCCAAATGTATAGCTCTCTCAGTTTTCTATTCAATTTAATAGTCTGTGATCAAAGAGCTAAAAATAAGTACCCATCAACTAATTTATTGGGGAAATAATTGTGAAAGGAAGCAACTGAATAACAACAAATGTTGTGTTACAAGCTCCTATCACAATTTTATCTCTTAGTCTTCACTACAAATTTTTGCAGGCATAGGGGCATGAAAAAAGACACACCTATGGAAGCAAAACCTCCAGTTCGGATACAGCTAGCCGACAGAAGAGGGTTTTCTTGAATTTGACTTATGTCACTTGGTGAGGCGATGTCAACAGAAAATCGCCTTCTGTTAGCATACTGTGAATTTCCTTGAGGGGGCCCTGTGTGGCTATAGTGGCAGAGACTTTTTAGGCTTGGAGGCTTGAGATGTCATTAAGAGTCACTACTGAAGGAGGCTGTGAGGAATGTTCAAACTTTGTGGGGAAGAGTGAAGCAGCACCCTCTGCCAGCCATTGAATGCAGTTGTCATGGGTTTTAAAGGAAGGTGTCAACCCAATATGGCTAAGGCTGTTGCAGACAAGAGCTTACAAAAGAAAGATTCTCCCCTAGGTAGGATATTGGGCTTCTCACTTAGTATTGTCTTCAGTGGGCTCCTGGTCACTTAATATCTGAACTAGTGAAGCAAAGGAATGATCTTTGAATCAATGAGGAATATGGTTCAAATACTCTGTAAAGTCACCAGCAGTTTGTGGCACAATCCAAAAAAGCCCTGTGATGTGCTAGAAAATGGTAAAAAGCAGAACAGAACACATGACTAGTGTGCTATATACTTCTCCAGAAATTCCTTGGTAGCTGCAGCGTTCCACTTACTAAGATTTTTTAATAAATCTAAATATTGGACCTTGCACAGGTGCTCTTTGACTTTCACTGTAACAACTGGCCCTGTTCTGTTTTTGCTTTTGGCCCTGTTCTGCTTTTTTGCCCATATCCATGTTTTCAGGTAGTGTTCAGTGAAGTCTACACACAACTAGTCTCAGCTAGCTGTGTTGGCCACATCCCATAAAGAAGACACCTCCCTTGATTCCCCTTCACAGCTCTGCTCACCTTGTGATCAAACTGGAGACTGGGCAAAAACCGGAATGGCCAGCCCAACATTCCTCTCTCTGAGCAAACACCCAACAAGAGAATACAGCCAGAAACTGTAGATGTCTATGCTGCATTCTCAACACTCCCAGAGAAGGCTGTTTTTAAGCATGTCCTACCTGCTTCTCCTGGCTGCATGTGTCAAACTCAGAGGTAAAGCTGCTCTGTGGGTGCCCTCTGCCATTGCTCTTGTGAACTGTGCTTTCACAAGCTTGAGATTAGCAGCTTTGCTACTTCATTTCTGGGTCTGGATGGTGAGTGGAGGAGTGAGTGGGTGAGGCATGTTTAAAAGCAATACTCCCTGCAAGGCCGGGCATGCGATATAGACATTTCCTCTTAAAAATCAATTGAGGACTTTAACATAGGAACATAGGACAGGACAGTGGCTCTCGGGTCAGTGAGTCTAGACCTCTGTGTTTTCAGGTAATGATTTGTCTGAAAGGATCCAGACTATCAACTTTGGCTCCTCTCATACACCCTAGCTACACAGTGGGCTATAAAAAAAAACCTATACCATTCCACAGGGGAGACATAAGCACCACCATTGTCTTGGACACAGGCTATAGGACATAGGCCCTTGACATAGCAAAGGAATTGTTAAGGTAAAATTTGTTCAGCTGGTCCAATATAAGGACAATGCCCTGAGTGACAGAGGAAAGCAAAATCCTCAGCAACTATGCTTACTAATCTGCCCTGGGGGAATCATTCCTTCTTGAGCCCTGATCTGGTGATGGTTTCACCCTAAGCACATAGACATAACCCTTCAGACAAGCATCTGAAAGGTTTCTAAGTCCCAGAAGGAGCAACCAGTGCACCCTAGGCAAACTTCCACCTCTTACCATATCCCATGTCCGGTGATTCAGAGGAAAGTGAAAAATAGAACCCCGACTCCTCCCTCCCCCCAAAAAATTAACCCAAGAATCAAATGATACATTAAGAGAAAAAAAAATCCTTTCTATCCCCTACAGGCAGCCAAGCTGAAGCCCTGAAGTGTAAGGTTATCACATTTTTTGCACAGAGATTGATTTTCCTTTGAATTGCATTTTGGGGATATCAGAGACACAAATCCACATAACACACGGGGTCTATCTACACATGACACTACATCACCAAAGCGATGCACTATGTAGCACATCACTATGGCATTGGGGGGCACAAACAGTGATGCCAATGCTACATCGCCATAGTCATAAGCTACCTTACTATAGCGCGATAGTACAGTGACATAGCTGCTAAAAATAACTGTGGGCTGGTGTGACAGCACAGTAACAGCTGTTAGTACTGCACCATCACTTAGTACTTCTTAAAGCAAATACTAAATGATGGCGCAGTAACAACTGCACTGTGGTGCAGCACATGTAGATGTGCCCTGTAAGTCCTATCCCAACAACATCTCTATTCCCTCATGTTTCCCTACAGTTGCCAAGTGCAATACTGCTAGTGAAATGACTGAAAAGTGTTCAGATATTACAGTGATAGCAGCATAAAACCCTAGGATTCACAAAACGGGGGGGATACAGTAGCTGTTTGGAGCCAAAGGGGTGTAAAGTGCTCCATTCCAAGGATGAAGAAACTCTTCCCCCAGAAGGGACAGAAGGTGGTG